GCAAGGGCGTGGGATTCCCGGCTCCAACTCCGAGGGAGGGGGCGAAGGGGGCGGGGAGGCTGGGTGGGAGTGATGGGGAGGGAGGGACCGACAGCCGTGAGAAGGAGGGGAGCGCCCAGGGTCAGGCTTGGAAAACGTAATTTAAGCGCACTGGGGAGATGAGTTCAGAAGAGGAAAGGCTCAGGTGAGTGGCACGACTTCTTCGCTGTCTGTGCAGACTTCTCATTTTCAACTCTTCTGGCAAAGAGTCAAGATAGCGTCCTCCAGACCTCCTAAGTGCTGGGAGCTATCCCCTGCTGTATCGCATTTGCCTCAAGCCCTACCCTTTTCAGGTGGGAATTATTAATTCCTTGATAAAGATGAGGAAGAAGAGGCTCAGATGAGCACAAGATAACCCAGCTTCCCAGAGTCAGCAAATCTGAGGCAGCCCGGAGGACCAGAACAATGAGCCTGTCACTGCAGCATGTAAAAACTCATGGCACGCGGGGGCCTCCCTCTTCTCCCGGATCTCTCCCTCTCTTCTCACGGTGACCGTGCTTCCCACTCTTCGAGATTGAATCTTGGCCCCAGATACCCAAACCCACAGAAATCAGTTATAACAAACAGTGCACGCCATCACCAGGAATGTGCATCCAGTTTGCTATGTGCCTGTTCATTTACTCAAGACATTTATTGGATCCTTTGATCCCTGTTTGCAGAGGTGAACAAAATACATTCTCACGGGCCAGTGGAAACGAATCTGATTGGATAGCTCGACAACAGTAATAGAAGCAAAATGAACACAAATACTAAAAGGAAGAGAATAGTCTCCTAAATTAGATGGCAGCAGAATCTAATTTAGATGTCGATACACACACACACACACACACACACACACACACGTGCAAGGCATCTCTTAGGCGCTGACACTTAAATAAGGCCAGAGAGTGGATCGGTTTTACGAGGGAAGAGGGGAGTAGGATCTTGCATGTTAGGTCAGGGGGCACAGCAGAAATGAAGGTCTCGAGATAGTTAAGTGATTGCCACGTGAAAACTGTTACAGGCCAGAGGAAGAAGCAAACACAGCAGTTGCTGGGTCAGCTGGACCTTGTAAGCTGGGGCGAAGCACGTTGGAAGTCATTAGATTTAAATGAATGGGGGTTTGTGTATGTGTAGGAGGCAACATCACGTCCAATAAAAAAATAATGCGAATCATTTTTTGAGCAAGGGTAGGCATTGGACGTGCTGAGGCAGGGCCAGAAACAAACTAGGCAACTGTTGCTGGCATGAAGGGGCACAATGACAGTGTCTTGCTGGGACCAGGGTAGTGGCAGTGGAGGTAGATGTGTTACTCTGCTCAGTCCTGTGGGTACTGAAATAATTAACATGAGGTCCATGTCAAGCCTCGATTAAGTGATAGCTCCATACACATAGTCGGTATGAACACACCGGGAAGAGGTAAACCCCGGCTGCAGAGGCAGAGAAGGTGATATGTCTGCCTAACGAACATGAGGCAAGTCCTCACAGAACATCAGGGCTAAACAAATTACTTGGGTTTCCCTACTTCATCTGTTTAAGCTCTGTGGCCCCTGTTTTATAATCTGTAAAATACGAATCAGCATGCTACATCAAAAGGATAGCCTAAGGGGTAAGTGAATGCATTTTTCGAAGCACATTATAAGTGGACTTTAAGAAGTGATGATGGTGTATTTCTGTGATTTCATCCATCCTATGTCAAACTTGAATGTATGTCAAAATCACCTGTAATGCTAGCTTAAAAATGCAGATTTCCAGGCCACGAAGCACTGTGATTCTGACTCCATGGATTTGGTGTACGGCCCAAGCGTGCATTTGCAAGTAAGCACTTTTGGGTGATTCAGACACAAGTGACTTAAGTGCTTTATGTGATTCCGTGAAGAACTGGACACCATAGGAAACTGGACGTCGAAGATGTGCAGTAAAACACTGCTGGAGGTCACGTCACCAAACAACAGGCTGAATAAAACAGGCTGAATAAAATCCCAGGAGACTGGGATCAACAGCACTGTCAGCAACATCATCAGGTGAATACGGAAGGAAACGAGGGTAAAGGGCTTGTCCACACTCAGCTAAAAATAACCATGGCCCTGATTTGTGTCTCTCCATTAAGATATATTTGCATGAAATTATCCATATTTCTCTGGTCCTCCTCTTTTAGGGTTAATAATATAGGTTACTCGCCATGGTCAGGGTTGAAGTCAGAGAACCACCCTTAACTATGCTCTATGCTCAATTGTGGAGTTTCTCAACCTCAGTAGTACTGAGATTTAGGCTGGATAATCATTTGTGGTAGGGGTTATCATCCTGTGCATTATAAACATAGGATGTTTAGCAGCATCTCTGGCTTCTCTCCACTAAATGCCAGTAGCAGCCCCCAAAATGCAACAAAATGTTGTGAGGTTTCCAAATGTTTCCTGGTGGGTAAAATTCCCCTAGGCGAGAACCTGGATAAATAGTACAGATTCCCAGTCCTATTCTGTGACATTTTTTGTTGAGTGCCCATTTTGTTGAGAGACTAGAGGGCTCCTCTTGAACTTAATGTAAGTGGTGTGTAACTGATTTTATAGCTGTTCTTCCATACCCCAGTCAATCTTGCTCTCCATAGATTCAAGTCCTCCATGATTGGGTACAGAAACCAAGACTCATTTCTTACATAGTTCTAGATCTAGAAGATCAAAACTTGCAGTTCCATTCATTTGTAGATGTCCAGTCTCTTTTTTAGGGCTGATAAATACTTGCAAAGCCGTAACTTCTGGGATGATTTCATACACAGTTTTCCAGGAACTGGCCCTGCAATATGTATAAATTGTCTCTAGATGGTGACAGAGAATCATGAGCCCATGGTCCAGTCTTGGAGTTGTAAACTGCAAAGTCACTGTTAAGTTACTTGGGAATGTCAGTGTTACCTGATTTTAAAATGATAAATCTAGGACACTACAATGGCTATCTGAAGTTTGTAATAAACCAATGGGGATACGGGGGGCAGAGCTCATTGCTGATGTGTTGTACTCTGTCATACGTAGTCCAGAATCTGTCATGTAACAGACATTCTTAAGTGTTTGTAAGAGGAGCAGAGGGAGGGAGGGAGGAATGGAGGGAAAATTTGAGATAGAGAGATCACACTGTTTCACTCTTAACCACTAAAAAAATTCCCCCTTTCTCTTCCTTTAAAATCAATGGTACAGTTCTAGGCATTGATTTTCTTTCTTTTTCTACTGACATAAGCTTAATTAAATTATTATTATTATTATTATTATTATTATTATTATTATTTGCTAAATAACATTAAGATATGTGCCTTCTCCTGGACAGATCAAAAAATAAATGGCAAACCACGTTGCTTACTCGCTTTCCTTTGTCCCTGGATTCATGAAGATGCAAACATCCCTTCCATGGAAAGTAAGAAACATTTACTGCCTCTCCTGGTGCGGTTGACTTTCTGTGCTATAACTGACTCCTTATTTGCTCTTCTCCTTTTCCGTCAGTGAGTAGAGGGAAACTCTTCTTCCTCTAGCTGCTCAAAGCTGCATCAAACAGTGGGCTGGGTTTTACTGAACAGGTGTCTGGTACTTTCCTGTAGAAAACATTCTGATGTCCAAAGAGATAGATGTCCATAGTCACACATCTAAACCTAGAAGAGAGTAAAATAGAACACAAGAATTTATTTCAACACAGTAGCCAAAAGGAAAAGAAAGAGATGGAAATGGATTTCCCTCCTTGAAGGCCTAAGATCTAAGGCCTACTTTCTGGTCAATGTCTCAGAAATGCAGTCCAGTTAGCAACCCAGACCTCAAAAACAATGGGGAGAAGGAGACAGGGGAGGTGAAAGAGAAACAGAGCAGCAGATCTTAACTTTTTTCCTTCTACAGATAACCATCCAGAAAGATAAACAGTTATATTTTGCTACACAAAGAATGAAATTCAAACAAGTGACAGGCAACAAACTTCTATTTACTTAGTAGTAACAATACAGGAAGCAGAACCCCTTAAATAGTTTTGTAAATAGATCCGTCATCACACACAATTTAGCAATTACCAACTGTTTTCCTTTGCCTGCTATTTATTCTTCTACTCAGCTTTCTGAGGACATTGGTATCTATTTCTTTCCTTTAAAACCATGTGGTTGTCTGACTTATCTATATGATAAGGTTCTCTCTGCTCATCTCATTTTCTCTGTTCTTTGTACTCTGGCTGCATGGGCTTGCTTTCCTTGTTCTATTTTTAGTCTTTTCCCAAGCCCT